ATAAATGAGGAAATTCTGTGCAACTCATTAAGTTGTAGTCTACTGACGATTGTGACAGGGCGGAGGTTTGTGCATGCTCCCCAAAGCGGGCCAAATCCTGGACAGAATCCCTCTTGAGCCGAAAAATGTCTCGTTTCTATAGTGCAAGCTGATTACCACCAGATTTACTTTGAGCTTTGAGAAGAAAGCTTCATTCTCTACTGACTACTAGCTCCCGCAATAAATTCTACAGGGGGGGGGGGCAAAAAAAAGACATTTCGACCGAGTCACATATCAGCAAAGTTTTCGCAGCCCAGACAGAGGACGTGGATACGAGTACCAGGGCGGAAGATACCCAAGATGTTCCTCTATAAGCAGGAGCTGGCGCTCGCCCATCACCTTCATGTACACCAAAATATGAAGTCATCTCCAGTCGCAACCTGACTGGAGAAGACCTTCGGAAACTCATGTCACCTCCAAACAGCTGCGAAACTTCTAGTATGGAGTCACCCATGGATAGCTACCTGGAGACCAGTACTCTCGATCTGGAAGACCTCCAACATCGAGCAGCTCCGTCAACGTCGCTACGGTCCAGGACATCATTTCACCCGGGTCAGTAGAAATTGGTACGCTTGACCTCGTTAATGACTTGTCGCACCTATGATTCGAGGCATAATTAGCGAGGTGCGAAGCGACCTCATTAAGCCGAGGCGGCACGAGCTTTCAAAATCGGCACAAATTGAGTGAAAACTCCCAACAGATTAAGGTTAAGGCTTACGAAAAAGAAAAAAAAGATTAAGGTGAAGGCTTACGAAAAAGTAGTACGATAAGGTAGCGCTACCTGACAAACTGAATAGAATGGTATAATGCGTAGCTTTTAACTAACCAATATTCAAGTAATCGATAGAAAAAAATGTAAATCCGGTCATACAAGAGTTCATGACAAGAAGCTTCAAGAAGGTCTCGTGGAAACCCATACGCTTACAAAGTGCATTCTTGCATATAGCTGAATCTCATTGCCTGCCTTCGGCGGGTTAGTTCAGGTAATGCCCCTCTGGCCTTCTATATTGGCCCGGTAATGACTTCTCTATCACTTTGAGAGCCCTCTGGCCAAACACAGCACAAGGTCTCCAAGAAGGTACGGGCGTCCACATGTAGGGAGGATATCCTCTCGAAGCTTATTGATGTAATGCGGCCGCTCACCTACTTCGAGTCGGGGTCTACAAAGAAATATCGGTCTTCCCATTCCAGGTACGGCCCACACCATCAACCCGCGCCTTGGTGAATGGGGTGAAGATGATGTCCTGGACCGTAGCGACGTTGCCGGAGCTGCTCGATGTTTGAGTCTTGCAGATCAAGAGTACGTCATTGGCGTGATTCCATTCAATAAAGTTCCGCAGCGTTTGGAGAGGGCTACGTGAATTCCAAAGGCGTTCTCCACTCAGGCCGCGACTGGAGATGACTTCATATTTTGGTGTACATGAAGGTGAATGGCGGCAGCCGGCTCCTGCTTATAGAGGAAGATCTTGGGTATCTTCCGCCCTGGTACTCATATCCACTTCCTCTGTCTGGGCTGCGAAAACTTCGCTCATATGTGACTCGGCCGGAATGACTTTTTTTGCCCCCCCCCCTGTAGTCAGAACCTTTTAACCCTTCTTCACCGACAAAGTTTTCGAAAGCATTCGTGCTCTTGGATAGCTCAATACTTCTCCTCTTACCGGGGCCAGCCGAAGTTAGCGCGACGTGCCTCGGCTTAATGAGGTCGCTTCGCACCTCGCTAATTATGCCTCGAATCATAGGTGCGAGACAAGTCATTAACGAGGTCAAGCGTACCAATTTCTACCTACCCTTTTCAACCCCCAGTCGCCAAGGCGCCAGTTGATGGTAGGGACCGGACGTACCTTGGAAATGGAGAGACCAATATTTTCTTCGCGGGCAACGGACTGAAGGTGAGCACTGGCGGTTACATCGAGCAACTCGAGAAGAATATCCTCTCCACATGTCGTCGCCCGTACCTTCTTGGAAACTTTGTACTGCTACAGGATTAGGTGACACCACATGGAATCAGAGGGCGTTTGGAAAAACTCTTGCCTACTTGGAATGGAGGGGCGTTGAGTACCTGAGGAAGGTGGAATATTCAAGCAGGTCATCTGACCCAAACCCCCTCAATTACCTGGTTCGGGCGGAGTTCAATACAGGGTGTGATCCTTGCGTGGGCGGAGGAAATCGACGTATTTCGCCTGATCTCAGGCGCCCACTCACGGTCGTGCGGCAGAAATCTCTCGACGGCATTCCTCCCCAGTAAGGCTGGTGGCGATGTATCCATAATAGTATTTGATATGCTCTTTAATATGGTGGTGAAAATATCCGATAAGAATTTAATAAAGTGTAACTTACAACGCCTCGAAAGTCAAGGAAGAAAAAAGTCTTTTTTTTTGCCCCCCTGTATAGGCAATTCAGCACTTACTACAAGTCCTGGTAAAAATCGAGCGCATGGCGCATCTCAGAAAGCGCCAAAAGTTTCAACCTTTGGCTCACCCTTTCTTCCTGACTAAATAATAGACCTATAACCTTCTAGTAAAGTATGTTTTTGTTAGCAAAGCTATGTATGTTCTTGCCAATCTAGCGAAACGAATTCACCCTAATTAGAAACAAGAAAACAATACATTGCGGGGAATTGATACACTTTCCACAGCACAGATGATCCGTTTCGCCCGTTGTCGTAGACGAATCATCGAAGTCTTACCAACCCCCCAGGCTCGTCAGTACGACAGGGTTGAAGACATGGACATAGACTACACAGGGGAAAGGAACCAAAGCAATAGTGACAAAAAAGAAGAAAGAACATGTAGCATAAAGCTCACGTGTTAAAATTCATTGCAATAAAAAATGAGCAAGGAAATTGTACAGAAAAATGAAGAAATGTTTATAAAGTTCTGGAGTACTAAAATACTGGGTAAGGAGGAGAAAAATTGGAATGGAGTAGAGGCAACCAACTAAGGCGATGTAGAAGTAAAAAGAACGTTTGGTTGCCGGCGAGCTGATGACAAGTTGGCGTGAATAAAAATTGTAGCGATAAAATGAGAGTTAGAGTTGAACATCGTTGCTAATGAGAATACTTTTAACCAGCCTACTTATCTTTTTATAGTTATTTGCAATAGAGTATTTGTAACTTATAAATTTATTTTTGTAAATACATTTAACAATGCTAGTAATAATAAAACCTTCTTCGTAGCCATTTTTTTGACAGAGTGGGTGACCATATCCGTTATTTTGCTTACGAATACATCGAAGAACGTACAAGTGTTTGCTAACCTCAACGTTTCCGTATATATAACAGAGGCTTTGTTGATAAGGGAAATGTTTGTGTCACTATATGGAAATCTGATTACATTGAAGCTAAAATCGTCCGTTTTATTATACAACTTAGTATTAACTTTACCATTAGAAATATTGATTGTCAAATCTAAATAATTGCTGGAAAATTCACTATTATGAGTTTTTTTCAATTCAAGGGTATTTCGATAAACTTGATAAAGTTGTTCATCCACGTCACCGTCAGTTTGGTTATGTACAACAAGCAAATCGTCCATATATCTATATGGAATGAACACTTACCGTTGATCAAAACCTTTTTTGGATTTAAGCCATAAGTAATAACTGCCATGACAGAGAGCGTTAGATCTGCCAAAAGTGGACTGAAATTACCACCTTGTGGGACGCCTTTTGTCTGTTTGAACGTATTATTAGCAAAAAGACAAAAACTGTTACGTAAAAGATAGTCAATAAGGTATACTAAATCGCTGGATTTGTAATATCTGTAGTTGTTCTTGATTTCTTTCCCATCTGTATAGAAAACATGGTAACCATTAGTGGCAATAAAAGATCTGTTGGCATTTTTGAAGCAAATGTTAAGCAATTCTTGCATTTTCTTTATAATGAGATCATGTTCCAAATTTGTGAACATGTCCGTGAAATCCGCAGTGTAGATTTTAAGATTGTCGTATGGGATGTTGTGAAGTTCTTGACTTATATTAATATTACTAATGGACCAGTATGTCTTGATGGTCCTGTTGCGATGCTGTATTACTTTTTGGCGTAATAATAAAGTGATTTTTGAGATGTGTGAAGACTATGCGTAGTTCCTGGGCCAAGGGCTTAACACTGCTACTATGAGCACCTGTGATGTATCTAAATTTGACTGGATTCTTGTGTAGCTTTTGGTAAGGCATATATAGTAGGTATTTCTGCATCAACAGATATATTGATATTATTCTTTGCCAAAGAGGAAATTGGTGCTTCAAATATTAAAAAAATACTTGTTTGTATTGAGGCATTGAATTCATCATGTGTTGTTACTGTTCCCATAACATAATGTGCTGGTTGGTAAGCACATAAAAATGCCCATTTCATGCATTATGTTCAAAAGGTAGAACTTCTTGCAGATAATGCCATAGTTATTATTTGCTTTGTCTAGAGGACAGAACACATATTTTTCTTGATATTGTTTGATTAAGCTATAAGGTATGTGTTCTCCTATATTTTCAATATTAACCTTTGTTAGTAGAGGTTTAACTTTGTCATGGTAACATGAACGAAAATGCTTCTGTAATAGATTTATCTTGTGATTGCTAGCTTTGTATTTACATTTAAAATAATTCATGACCTTGTTGAGTGTATCTCAAACCACATCTTTAACCTTCTTGTCCTGTACCTGTGTCTGATCTGTATTTGGTTCCTTTACTCAGCAATCTTCTAAAACTCTCTTCTTTTATAAGATTTACATTGCCTGTGATAACGTGTTCATAATTTTTATCGAGAAATTCTTGTACTGTATTTGTAGTACATATACAACCATTGTTAAGTATGTGCTTTAATTTTTCGTTGTCGAGATCTTTCAACACTTTGTTGTAATTGCATATTTTGCTAGCCATCGTGTTGTTGTACTTATAAATAATTCTGATTGGGGTGAATTCACTACTCCTCCTATTATCGCTGAGCAGTATCTCTCTGACAGTACGTGAATTAAAGATCTTGTTAAAGGGTATTTCATTAAATACTCTGCTCTTGAAACTGACCTCTATGTTATGAAAGTCCTTTCTGGCGGTTTGTTTTGTGGTAGTGTTAAAGTGAAAGTGAGCTAGCAGGCAAAATATTAAATACCTGGTCTTATTATTCACTCTCTGCAGGAAACCTGCAGACGTGGAAGTTCAATTAGCTTGTTAATTTCTTCTTTACGCAGACACTTGAGCATTCTGTAGTACTGAATAGGTTTGAGTGTTTCACTATTACTTGTTATCTCTGCTATAATATTATCGTATGTTTACTTTATTCTTTTTACTGTTTCTTTTTCCTCTATTTATCCTTTGTTTTGTAATTTTAAGAGAGAAGAAGGGATGATTGCCCTTGTACATAAGAGGATTATCTATATTTGTTAAGTTTCCATATCCCTTTATGTTATCATTTAATCCAAAGGGGTATGGTGTCATAAGAAGTTTGATCCAAAAAAGTTCTTTTTCTGCTAAAGTAGTTTTATCGTTAGACTTCATACAGTCTAGAACTTGTACCGTTATGCCCTTATCGCATTTATAGAAGTGATTATATAATGGTGTGTGTACTTTGTGTGAAGAAATATTGGAAAGATGTTCGCCAATTCTTTCTTTCAATTTTCTTACTGTCATTCCAACATATTGTATTCCGCAGCCATTGCATGTCAAACAGTACACCACATTTTTAGCGTTACAATCTGCATCTGCTTCTTTATATGTGTTGATATATAAACTGGTAACGTTGGATACAACGTAATTATTTGTATTAGTTATATCACATGTCCTACATTTCCTTTTACATTTGCAGCCCTTGTTATCATTTCCAAAGTCTTTAAGTTTGAAGTGGTTGGCCCCACCCCTTACCTTGTAGAACCTGGAACTGGAGAAATAATTTGTGGCGCTAGTTTTCGCATTTTTTGACCTAAGATCTAAGCGCATGAGCGGTCAAACCCATACGCAGAGAGGAGTCTTCCCGAAGGTTCGGCAGGGCTGCTGCCCAGGGGATAAGAAAAACATGACCTTGTCCTTTACCTCGCCTTTTCTGAGTTGTAATCCCATTTTCCAATCACTACAGTACACGCTCCACATGCTCCTTCTTCACAAGCGAGTTTCGTCCCAGTCAGACCAACTGAAAACTCAGATACAGCTCGAAATAGTGCACACCATGTCCCAGAGATTGAGAGGGCGTGGCTGCGAACATCAGTTGAACATGCTTTCTTATGGTACGAAGGACATTGTGACAATGGTAATTATGCCATTAGCAACAGATTGGGGGGGGGTTAGTAATTTCAACTGGAAATAAGTATGATGCTGTCCAGATATGCACGCAGCCACGCGCCTCCCTTATTCCCCCGAGACAAAAGAAAAGTGAAATCAGAGTTAAAATTCGGGCGAATTTTGAGGGTCATGGCACAGTTCACTACAAACAAGGCTAACGCTGAAGAAAATCGACCAGATGAGACTCACGTTGATTCCGCAGATATGATGCTAAGGTGGTCTCCGGATCGATATTCGCAGCACTAATATCCTTCCCATTGACATTGAATTGGAGCACGCTGAGTTCCATGGGGAGCGGGCGGTGAGAATGATACCTAGACAACAAGTTGATTGACTGATAACAACCATTAACAGTCAGCATGCGCCATGATTTAATAGAAAATCGATCAGTGATTTCCCCGATAGATAAGGTCACTGGGGTCAAACCAGAAGACCCAGAAATAGAATTGGGATATTCTGCAGAAATGGGCTGCACCCTACAGAGAACACGTCGATTGCTACTGTTGATTCAAGGGCTTGTGGTCTAAATGACAGATTTTTTTGACCAATTTTGATCCATTTTGACCATATTTCAGTGGAGAACATTGTAATATTCATTTTTACAAGTAATTTGTCCAGATCTGATTCAATGACACATTCCGCGACTACTCGATAGGAGAACCACTTCATCCCCTGTTGCACATAATGTATGACTTTGCAGTGAAAGGGCGCGTTGAGGGTGCCGCGTGTTTGCTGAGTTGCCCCCTCCCTTCCTCCCCTCCTTCAGAGACTGCAGACGAACAATGAAGAAACAGAAAAAAGGAGCGAGGTCACATGTACAGTCCTGTACAGCCACGCCCACTTGTCAGCGCGGACATGGATTCTCGAAGCTTGTTTCGTAA